GCGTGACTTCTTCGGGGAGAACGCGGAGGAAGTCCAAGACGCAAGGGAGCGTTGCTGGATCTGAGCCGAGGGCGTTGACAACGTCTTTGAGGACATCCTTCCACTCGGTCATCTGTATGGCCAGATTCGCCAGGCACACGCAGAGCTGCAGACGTATGGGCTTGGGTCCGGCGTGGAATGTCGCCAGATTCCGCATGATGGATGCTCGGAGCTCTGGCAGCTGTGCGCGAGGCACTTGGTGGAGGTCGTATACGATCTGACATGTTAGCATAGGCCAAGTACGGAGTAGTGACGACTCACCTTTCCCTTGAGTGTGGTAGCAGCGAAAAGCTTGGCAGCGGCATCTGCTGAGTTTGCCTCTAGCATAGCCAGTGTGGTTGTCCATGCCTCTTCCTGTCACATATCAGCCCCTCATGCTCCTGAACGCGTGCCCATGCTACGTACCGACTTCTGGAACTGCTCCAGAAACTGATGTGCCTGCTCTTTCTGCGCGCGATCCGCCTGCGACGACATGGTGTTGTGCGCCGCCAGCACAGGGTCGAAGACCTGCTGTCCGTTGGCAGCCATGGTGAGGGAATTGGGCGTGGTAGTGGGGGGACGGATGCGGATACTGCTCGGAGCAAGGCGGCGGGGCGTGGATTATATTGCGCGCATCAACTGACTTATTACCAGGGTGCAGCGGAAGGAAGGTGCAAGCGGAGAGGAGGCAGGCAGGGCGGCAGTTGTTGTTGTGGTGGTGGTGAGTTTGTTCAGGGACGGGAAGTTGCGTTCGGTCGCATAGTCAAAGCAGCACGAAGATCCCCACGTTGGTGCCAAGGCGTTTGTGACCGCTCAGGTCGCGCCAGAAATGTTCCTGCAACCACAGCTCTCCTCCGAGCCTCTCCCCACATTGCGCCCCGACTCCGCCCCTACGACTTCGAGAATTACCGGAGACGCGCATTTAAATCTTCACAATGACTGGACGTGGTGGTCAGTATATCTGCGCTGTTTGACGACGACTAGCTAACTTGTGCAGGCCGTGGTGGAGGAAAGGGTACGACAGCTCCCACATGCATGCGCCGCGACAGCAGCTAATGACTTTGCAGTTCTCCTTCCTCCTATCAACTTCATCTTCAAGCTCCTGCAATCACGGGCGACCATCTCGGTATGGCTGTACGAGAACCTGGGCATGCGCATTGAGGGAAAGCTGAGGGTACGACTGCCTTACTACCTCAATATGACTGCGGCTAATAGTTGTGTAGGGTTTCGACGAATTCATGAACCTCGTCATCGACGACGCCATCGAAGTCACGCTCGCGAAGAAGGACACACCAGAGGAGAGGCGCAATGTCGGCCAGATCCTGTTGAAGGGCGACAACATCTCTCTCATCCAGCAACTCCAATAAGCGCGAACGCCAACTCACCCCCGCACAGTCGCAGAGACACATAATGGACACGGCGCATACGCCAGGCTGGGAGGAAGACAAGGCCATGTAGTGCGGACGATCTCATGCAAAAGTTTGTGGGACGATATCAAGGCTCCACGCGACGGAGCTCGCCATCACCAGTGATCAAGGCGTCCAGGCGGAAATCAGAGGCGTCCATGGGAACCGACTCGTTTGGTGGCAGGAACTGCTCTGTTAACGAGAGGCCAACTTCAACTTGGTTAGTTAGCCCTCCAAATACACAATACCAGTAGTTCTTACCGCGAAAAGGCATGCGCGATATCTGGTGACAGCGCGTCAAGAAATAGTCGTAGAAACCTTTGCCGTGGCCCAGCCGGCCGAACTGCGAGTCGAAAGCCATACCCGGCATGACGATCAGATCAAGGCCGGCACTCAGACCATCAGTCTCTCCATTCGTGATGCCGGTACCACCAAAGCAGTTCGCACGTGACGATATGGAGTCTTTGCTCGGTGTTGGAATACCCCATTTGTCGGGTTCCAAAGATTCAAAGTCGGTCATCGACTGCAGCTCTACCATGTCCATGATGGAGTTTGGCTGGCCATCTTTGGGTGCGGCCAATTTATAGGTGTAGGGAATGAAAACCTTCTTGCCCTCATCAAACGCATTGCGCACGATCTCGCTTGTTGATATCTCACCGCCCGGCATAGACAGGTAGACGCTTATTCTGCGCGCCGCCTTGTACTCGGGCATGGACAGTAGGGTTTTGGTTGCATTAGATGCTTGGGAGCATCAGTAGAAGCAGCAACAAGACAAATGCATGACGTACTTTGCGTAGCAGCAGCCGCTTCGGGAAGGCCTTTTAAGATATCCCTAATCTTGGATCGCAATTCCTTCTTGACAGCTGCTAGTGATGCGGCCATAGCGTCTTTTGATTGCAAGCGTAACGGCGTTCCAAGTGTACAAAGATAGCGCCGGTACTCCGGATGTCGAATCTGGTGTTGTGGTACTGAGATGGGATGTAGCAGAGAGCAACAGATGTCCTGATCGCATCGGCAAATATATAGGGAGTCGTCGCAAAGCAAAGAAGGACCCAAACAGCTAAAAGATCCGCTGCGGGTGCGGGCGATGATGTCGGGCTTGCCCACCGGAGGCCGGTGATGATCTGCAAGTAGCCGCGTGATCCCTGTCGATTGGACCCAAGCCAGGAGGCGGCGACACTCAAACATTCCCAAACATCCTCCCTCAACAACCACCCACGCCCGCCTCATCCACCCACCCCTACGCCCTCCCGCCTTCGTGCACCCACGCTCGCTTCCGCACACCACCGACCGTCCACACTCGTTCTCTCACGCCAACACCCACACACCGCACGCATCATGTTGTCACGGATAGCCGCGCTACTGCTCTCAGGAGTCGCAGTCCTGCATGCGCAAGCCCAGACTGCTGCCGTTCCTGCAGAACTCGTCGGCACATGGACAAGCAAGTCAAATTCGACCATGACCGGACCTGTATGCGCATCGATCCATGTCCGCAGAGGAGACAAGACTAACCACCCGCATAGGACTTCTACGACCCTGTCAACGAGAAATTCACCGAGCCCAAGCACACCGGCATCAGCTACTCCTTTACCGCGGATGGCCATTTTGAATCGGCATACTACCGCGCAATCGCAAATCGTACGTTGCCCGCAGTCACCCCAACACTACCGGGACAGACACCATAGGATAGCAGAGCGTTCGCTGACAAGCATTACAGCCACCAATCCCAAATGCCCCCAGGGCATAATCCAATGGCAACACGGAAGCTACGAGAAAACGGCAACGGGCGGCCTCGTCCTCAAGCCCATCAAGGTGGACGGCAGACAACTATACTCCGACCCGTGCCAGTACAAGACGGCCGTCTACACCCGATACAACGCGACCGAGAAGTTCAAGGTATGTCGAGATGCAGAAATCTAAATATGCCGTACTAACCTATCAACAGCAATACGAATACGTCGCCTCAGACCAGTACCACGTAGGCACCCCGCGCATCACGCTCTTCAAATCCGACGGTGCCCCGATGATGCCTCTCTACCTCGCCATGAAGTCACCCAAGATGCTCCCCACCACGACACTCAACCCCCTCGTCACCCAAACCGCCGCATCCAAGAACTCCAAGCGCGGCGAACTACCCATGAACCACGAAGTCATCTACGCGCGAACAACCGGTGCCGTCAGGGCTGACCAATGGTGGTGGTTCGGCGTTTTCATGACTGCTGGCGGAGGATTCCTTTACTACTTCTTCTAAACACGACGAGGAAACGGCAGTAGTTGGGGCAAAGAAGCCGTCGAGCAAACGCGACGACTTATGGGGTTGGGCGCAATATCGGAGTTTTTTGGCATAATTAAGGATCACACGGCAACGCAGCATAATCCTTGTTTCATCTGTATCTTCACAACACGACATGATTCTTGCTGGGTGTTTCAAAGAAGGAAGAGAGGCGTTTGGTGGCATCCATCCATCTATCCTATCGGACACGAGTCATCAAAGATATCAAAAACTCATGTTCAGCGAGCAAGGCGCGATTTTGGGATCTTTGTTTTTCCGGGGCGGCATATGTAGACAAATTTACGGCTTTTTTTCTAACATTTCACATTTCGTTGGACTCCCTGTGGACTTCTGTTTCACTGTCGTACTTCAAGACCCTGCACGCAACGTTTCCCAGAGTATCTGTCCGTGTGTTGGTAGATTGGTAAACCAAACGTCCTAGCCGATGGGGCCGACGTCAACAAAACATACAAACGACTTCTGCTGGTACGCTAATGTCCTTCTACATGCAAACTTATCTACACTATACATGTCCATCGCCCTGACAACAAGACAACAAGCTAACGTATATGTTCGCATTAAGTAATGTTTATTTCGATTCCACACACTTCCACTAAACCTCAAATTTCCTCCACGCTTTCTAAACCTCAAGATTTCAATGGGACGGATGTTCCAGCCTCCGCGATGCTTTTCCAAGGTTTCTTGTTCTTTTCTAAGATGATGAGTGTATTGTATTGTGTTGTATGATGTGGGTTCGTAATGAGTCGTTATCGCGTTAGGCGTGAAGTGAGATTGTTGCTGGAAAGCAAGCAAATCGGGAAGAAAGGTTTGCTGGATGACGATGAAGTTGCGCGAAGCAAGAGGTGTATGTGAGAGCTTTCGGATAGAAGACGTTGCGTTGTCGTGGGTTGGTGTGTATACTCTGCTTCAAGGGAACAGATTGAAAGACATGGAGACGATGTCGTGCTTTTGTTGGGCTTGGAAAGTTGGTATGTTTCGATGCGCGTGTGGCGTGTAGGCCCCGTCCTTACCCAATAGGAATTGAAGGCATAGAGGGGTTCTCTGCGCCTAACCTTTCGAGACGGGGTTTGTGGTATGCTGATGAAGCTGGCGATGTTCGTTCCTTGCGTTCTTGATCGGTTCGGAATTCTGTGCTTCTGGCGCGTTCGATGAGTACCTGACCAGGTGCTACGCGATCTGCTTTCCGTGTACCCTCTCCTCCTCTTGTATTCTTGGCTCGATTCACCCACCCAAATCTGTCTCTTTCTCTCCTCCATCCCACCCCATCCCATCCCTCCTCCCCATCAAAGCCCAAACCTCTCCATCCCAACCCTAAGATCCTCTTCCGTCCCCAAAAGATTCATAGCCCAAGGCGGCCTCTGACTCTTAACCACAAACCTCGTCTCACCAATCTCCTGCACCCTCCCCTCTTCCCTCTCCCTTCCTCTCATACCCTCCCTATTAACCTCAGTCTCAACCTCCTCCCTATCCACAGGCTGCACCTTCTTAGTCCTCCTCTTATACGGCGGCCCCCTCCCCATCTCCGCCGCCTTCTCCCACGCCGTCTCGCACCCCTTCGCGATAATCCCTGCGCTCGCCCACCCCGTCTTTTTATCCGTTTCGAGCAGCCGGGTAATAAGCCACTCGCGCTGCCGCGGGTCCTGGAATGTGATTCCAGCGAAGAAGAGGGAGAGGGTTGATTCTGTCAAGACGGCGCCGAGGAAAGGGGAGAGGTCTGATGTAACGGGTATGCTGACGCTAGCCCATATACGGCCGATGAGCATGCAGTAAGGTGCTGTGACGGAGGCGCAGACTCCGGCGGCCATTTGCGCGGCGGGTGGCATGCCAGGGTGGGATCTCAAAAGGATGATTTTGGAGAGATAGGCGAGGCCCCATAGGATGGAGATGTCGTAGCTTCTGTGGAGGATGGCTGGGCCGAAGGGTGTCATGTTTCCGTGTTCGTGGGGCCGGGCTCCTGGTACGGGTGGTGGGTACGTGTCTTCTGGTAATGGAGCAAAGCCTTCGCTTTGTTCTAGGACTCGTAAGACAGATGTGTGGGCGTCCATTATGGTTTCCCATTCTGAGACTGCTTTCTCGTATAGGGTGGGTAGGTCGGCGTGTTGCGGGTTGGGTACGTTGGGGGTGGGGGGTGAGCGTTCGTAGTTTGGGTTTTCGTAGCTGGACAGGATGGGGCCGGGGCCTGCTGAGGGGGCCATGCCGTAGAAATTGGGCATGGGTGGTGGTTGGCTTCGGGGTGGTCCTTGCCCGGTCCATCCTGGTGGTGGGGGTCCTTTCCATCCTGGCGGCGGACCTTGCATTTGAGGTGGAGGCCCTCCAGAACCTGCATGCATTTGTTGTTGACCAGGTGGGCCGCTGGGAGGTGGCCCCATACTGCCAAAACCAGGCATACCTGGACGAGGTCGCCATCCACCATCTGCTTCCACTTGTCGAAGTTTGCGGGTACGGTCTCGAACTGTAAAGTCTGCGATACGACCTAGGAGAAGAATGATGTGATCGTGGGAGCCGTAAAGGGCATCGGTTCGGCCGAGTGGTGCTCTTGGAGGACAATCGGACCATTTACGGTAGGGGTTACTGCTTGATGTCAGTCGCAAGTTCTAGATCTAGACCGGGATTACTCACATAAGACGATGGCCGCTCACGATGCTCTGGTAAACATCATGCCTAGCGTACGACCAATATATATCCTGCAGTGTCTCGTAGCTTTGCAAGTCCAGTTTCGCGGGTATGCTTTGCCTCGCGTCGTGTCTTGCGCCATTGTCTTCAAACACCATTCCAAAGTCGTCATAATTAACCTTCTTCCCCACTATCGTGCTCACAAGACTCTGATCTGGCATCAAAGCGCTATCTTTGAGCCTTTGGTCGAACAGTCGTTGATCAAATAGCATCTCCGGATTCTGATGCGGGAATTGTCGTTCCATCGCAGTTTGCGCTGCTCGCATTCGTCTGTACTCTCGCGTGAGTGACCGGAAATCGAGCTCGGTGATCAGGCGCTGGGCGCCAACGAGATGTGTTCCCCATTTTACATGTTCTGCGGTCCATACTTCGTAGAAGGCCAGGAGCAAGGATGTCGCTAGCGTATTGGTTGATAGTCGTTTTGTGGGGTTGCCGAGGGAGCGAACAAGTCGTTTCAAAGAGTATGCATAGTGTTTGTAGGACGGCGTTATAGAAGCACCCTGCAGTCTTGCGATGTGCAGGCTTGCTAGCGCTAGCATGGCGTGTAAAAGTCCTTGGTGGCTCAGAGCCTTCAAAGGCAATGTATGTGTCCATAGTCCTTGCTGAGCTGGGTGTGTAGTGCTTTCGAAGATGAGGGTAGGGTTTCGGGGATTTCGTTCGTACATCGACAGTGTAGGTCCAGTCTATCAGACATTAGTAAACACTGTCCAGTTCGGTAGATCACAGTCTAATGATCCGGCCAAACATACCACATGAATGTAGTGCGCGAAAACCCTCGCAGTCTTGGGATTGCGCAGGGGGCTTGCTGCATACTCCGGTCTATAGTGCGACAGTAACCCGTCGTATAAGAACGCATCGTATCGTCTGATTCCAAGCTCATTGTAGTTCTCGAGGTGTATGCGACGTATGTTACTGAATTCCTTGCTCGCAAGTAGGGCCTGCTCGTCCTCGACTGTTTCCGCTTCAAACATCTCTTCGTCCGATTGAACGTCCCAGTAGTCGTCGTCCTCGTTTTCGATCGCGGCTTCGTCGAGAACCTGCGTAGGACTGACATGATCGTCGATATCGAATCCGCCGAGGAGAAGTTGCGGTTGAGATCGTTGCTTTCGTGATACGGCGGTAGGTTGGTCTGTATTCACCACTGGTCAGCCTGGAAACATTCACGGACATGTACAGATAATAAAGAGTAGCGTGCTGTCGCACCTGGGATGACTTAAGGAACCCCAGGCTTAGAAGACATGCACGAATTTATGGATTGACAATGGGTTGGGACACGAAGAGAATAACGATAGTCATTGGGGTATATGAGGTTTTAACTAGACACGAGACATACCGAGGACAGGCTGAGACATATACTTTACATCTGGGGTTATATCATGAATGGGCATCTGCACAGGAGGATAGCTTGCATGACTGAAGTCAGCGTGAGAAACTGCTGCTGGGTAATTGTGAGTTCCAACGTGGCTGAAGCTCGGGGGACCTCCTTGCGGAGGGTGTACGGGAGCATGCGGATGACCGTCGTATCTTTGCATGCCCGGTGGCGCTTCCGTGTAGTGAGGATACTGGTCGCTTCGCGGTGATACACTCGAATAATCCCGATAGGAACCTTCGGCTTGCTGGCTATCAGACCGGTAGGATTGTGGATAGTGCGGCGGAGGCTGAGGGACTGCGGCTTTTGTAGTGGGTTCGTGGCTGTAGGGAACCGAGACTGGTGGATATGGCGCGCTCTGGGTATATTGCATGGGCGGTTGAAATGTGCCGTGTGAATCGTGCCTATACTGTGTCTGTGGGCTGGTGTGCATAGACTGAGGGGGCGGGAAATATGAAGCGGTAGGCGTATGACCATGTGGAGGGTGGTTTGGCGAAGAAAGCGGCTGTTGGTGAAGAGGTGATGGCAGAGGTTGTTGATGAGGCTGTTGATAAGCCTGATCGTGTGTGTAGCCATGGGTCGCTCCGGGGTAAACTTGTGGGGGTTCCAAAGGCCCTGAAGTTTGGTTCGCGTCCATGTGGGAGAAGTCGAAGCTACCGTGCGGGCGTGGCTGGATTGGACCAAGCATGCCCTCTTGCATGCCGGTAGTTGGCTCGGGCCCTCGATATGATTGATTGCGTGTGCCAGGAAGCATGGAGGTGTGATATTGGATAGTGCTGACAACGCCTGGGTGATTCGGCCAGTCGCCAATCGGTGGTTTGAAGATGACTCGTTGGTTGTAGCCCTCGCACTGGCGTTTGGACTTTATGCAGTTGTTGCAAGTAGGTCTCTCTTCACCACACTTTATGCGGCGTTTTCGGCAGGTGAGACATCCAGTTTTGGTCCTCTTTCTCATCTTGGAGTTGGTAGCAGACCCTGAGAGGCCGGTTGGTGACACATCGCCCGGGCCTCCCGAGATTGGAGCGGGCGCCATACTGTCCATGGATTCGAGTAAAGAGATGGAGGTAACAACAAGCGAGTCTGTAGCACTTAGTACGAAGCTACAAGGCCATATAAGGGAGGTAAGACTGGGATGACATACCTGAGTAATCTTCGATCCTGAGGAATGGGGGCACAAGATCGGCGGGCTGATGTTGGTCCGCTTGGAAGCGGGTACGGAGCCAAGATCGATTAACCTCGCAGCAGTGCCGATCTGAATGGTTGAATCCTGCGGGGCGCCAGTGACGAGGCAGTCAAGCTTCACGGGCGACTGGGTTAAAGACGAAAGTGATGGTGTCGTCTTGTAGGAATCCAGGGCTCAAAGGCAAGAACAAATCTACTCAGGGAGAGTCGATCATTCAACCCACGGGAGCCATGTGGAGCCAGGGCTTCAATGTTAGTTATAACGAAGTGGGGAGCACGCACCAGGTGTCAGAGGCCGCTGGGAAGGCCAAAAGGGGAGCGAGCGGCAAGCCCGCCGCTGTTCGTGGGTACGGAAGGCTGTACGTAAAATGATAGCGCGTCCACAGTACCTACATCAGGCATGGAATGGCCATAGGAGCAAAGGTGTTCTAGACTAGAATGGGAACTATACTTTTCTGGGGAGCGACAAGGTACATGGGGGTTGGATCAGGGTGGGCAACTGGAGTCGGATGCAGAAACAGCGGGTGCGGACACGGACTTGGAGTGTTCAGAGCAGGGCAAGAAGTCAAGTTCGATTCGGCAGCTGTCGTGCGAGGTCTCGTCGGAGTGCGTGCCAATGGACCGGGGGTATTGAAGGGCTTGCGCTAGGAGAGTGGGAGAAGAAAATTGGCGGCTGATCAACGGATCTGATGCCGGGTAGGCTAATGAGGGGGGTATGATGTTTTGCGTTGGACGTGGGTTCCCAGCCAATCTGCCCGATATAGACACTCGACTGGCGAAGCGATGGGGGTGCTTTGGTTGCGAGCGTTGGGAGATGGGCGGCGGGACGTCGGCCTGAGGAGCTAGCCTGCAATCACTTGGTGCGCTGCCGAGTTCGGAAGCGGCCACGATGCTTTGCCGAGGATCCTCACCCTTCTCGCTCCCACCCACTGCACGTCGGCAAAGCAACCTCTTTGACACTTTGCTCCACCCTGAAGCGTGCTTTGCCTGCTAGCCGCTTGGGCAGCTGTCATCAGCCTCAGTCGCGTGGAGGTTGCGTTCGTGTGCGGAGCCTGAGTGGAACGTGGGACTCGGGCGACAGCTGGCCATGCTTCTGTTCCCACGACACAAACCTTATTCCGCGCAAAAGACATTCCGTGTGCGACGCGTCTTCACGTACATATCATCCCAATCCATCACAGTGACTGGCCCAGCTGGAGCGGACGTGTACTCGCCCAGGTCAACAGCTGTGGACATTGCCAATGGCCTAGCTAGCCGCTATTGCTGCCAGGCCTCCAGGAATCGCGCAATTGCCACGGTGGTCTGCTCTGATTGCCTCTGATACATGGCTCTATCATTACCAGAAGCGGCATGGTGCTGATCGACTGATGGCGTCGTCTCACGCGCGCCGGCCAACGAGCTTAAGCATCCGCCAATTAACCCATACCATCAACCACCCTACCGGACCTTCTGTCTAGTTTCGCGCGTTTGATTCACCGAGCACCCCGGACATATTTCGACGTCACTGGCACAACTGCTACTAGAGTGGCCGGCATGCAAAGCATCTTCGCGCTGGTGGCGGCTCAGGGCAAGCTGAACGGAATACCAAGCTCCGCAATCAAGAGCCATTGCCGCGGGGGCCCGCGCTTCTATTATGATTTTCGTCCAGGAATCGCGAACCCGACAGCTGGGCATCGTCAGCCTCTGATTGTGATGGCTCCCTGCCCACGAGTCGACTGCCTCGTCGACTGCCTCATTCAGGGCTCAACGGGGTCAAGGGAGCGAGGTACCTGTGTGCTCGGCGCTATGCCTCCTCATGCCATGTGCTGATGAGCGTGCGGAATGACGATCATGTGGACTTTTGTGGGGCTCGGAATACCTCTATTTCCAGTAATGGCCGCTGAACTTCGCATTCGACATCGCGGGTACGGATGCGAAAGAGCAGCCTCACCCAGCACGCTAATGCAGCATCTTCACACCACGATTGCATTAGTGCTGCGCGCATGCACGACTCAGGGTTGGCAGAGACATAATTCTGCCTTGTTTTGTTTTTCAAAGTCAGTGTCAGACGTTCACCGGGAGAACTGTCTACTGGTCCGCTCGGCGCAGTCGCGGTCTCTTGTGCTTTTTGGTCCTGGTATATCAAACGGGTCACCGGTTCGACGGCTGCGGGTACTCTTCCCGGTTATTAAAGGATCAGATGAAAAGGAAGACGTGCAAGTACAGTGACCTTGGGCGTCATTGTCAAGACCCTACAAACAGGGGTTGAGCCCAGGTTACCAAGGCGCTGGACCCGAGATGCTGCACCTTACATTCTGGCTGCAAAAGCAACCACTTTCCGAGTCATCGGTATGTCCCGATCATGGCTGTTTACGGAAGTGACCGAACTATAAAGCCAATTTTAGACAAGGCTCTCCAAGATAACGGGATGCGGTTGAGTTGCGGTTGAGCTTGCGGCGTGGTTAACCGGATCCGGACAGCCATTCGTGGATTACTACACCGGTGACGATCCGACGGAAGCACAGTTTGCAATTGCAATCGAGATGCAGGGGTCGAAAGAGTTCTCTGCTGTGGCTGCCACGAGAAACGGAACAGCATTGGGCGTGTAGTGGTAGGTGAACGGCGACTACTGGAGGCGCCTTGCTTCAATGGGCTCACCTTAGCGACCTGGACCCTAGATCCAAAGCTTGATTTTCGACATGGGCTGATGCCATATCTACGCCCCTCACCCGCTTGCCATTTTCGACAAGGGGATTGACAGCACTCCCCACATTTGCTAGACACTTCTGTAAGTTATTGCGAAGTGCACGTGATCGGATAGAGGCGCTGACGTCGTGTTAGGGGACGTATACACGACTCGCATTGAGAAGATGCACGAAGTGATGCGGACATGCTCATCCGCGCACCCACGTCTAAAGCGGTTCCTTCGATGTTCGGTTAGACATATGCCATGCCGGGTGTTACTCACGGCTATTGACTGCGGCTGATGAGTGCGGCAAGGCTTTGTTTGCGGCCTGCAATCTGAGCATCTCTTCAAAGCGATGCAGTCGCATCAGTTATCTCTTGGAGTGCTGCTGATGCTTCAGTACTCTGCCATCTCAGAAGTGTGCCCTTACACATGACGACAAGATCAACTCAACAAGCCAGTAGTCTGCAATGCACAATCTGACCCCGCAGCCTATATCCACTAGAGAGACGGTAGTTCCTGGGTAGTTCTTGCGCGAAGTTAGTACGCAGTCGTCGTTGTTTGTCCGCTACCTTCTCAAGAGGAAGAATCAACAATGACATGGCAGTAAAGCAGCAACGGCTGATATATCAGGCTTGCTAAAGCACAGTATGCTCTCGCTCACCGCTGTCCTCAAGCGCAGCCACAGGATACCGTGAACCATCTCAGGGTTGTAGCTTGCGCAGGTACACCTCCGCCGAAACGGAAGCGTTTACACGACACTGCTAGTGCAGCGACACCTGCAGCCATACAGCACTCTACATTACACGAGCGGATTTCTCCCTCACGGCTAAAGCGA